AGAGAGAGAGAGAGAGAGAGAGAGAGAGAGAGAGAGAGAGAGAGAGAGAGAAGCATTTTTAAAGACTTGGAATTGGGAAGAAGGTACGGCTTGGTTCTGCAATGGCAGACTGCAGATAGACGATGGAAATAGAAGCCATGGGATTGGATGAGTGTGCTGGGAAGGGGGATTGCGGGGATGCTAAACTCATTTTCAAAACTGGAAAAGAGAAGAGTGCCAAACTGTTCCATTAGTTAAATCTACCTAAAGATCTTCCACAAAAAAGTGGACAAGTGTTGAAATTATAATTATTGGGTGTTTTCTTTAAGGAGAGTTTGCAAAATTGTACTCGTATCAAATAGCAGATAAGATTCCATTCTCCGTAACATAATTCAAAGGCATCATGACTTCTTTCTTGGTGTCATTATTGAATATGTCTTTGTTGTGTGTAATACGGTACTCGTTTGTATGGCTAGATATAAAGGCATGCGAAGATGTTTTCAATAATAAAAAAAGTAAAGTTGTTCCTGCACCCGATCCGGACATTGGGGATTGCCTTGTTAGTGAGACAACTTCCTGGGCCTTCGGCATATTGTGGTAGGGTGGCTAGTTCCTTTCCAAGAGGCCTTTACTTCCCCAACTCTAAGTCAGGTACCCATTACTGCTGGGTGGACAGGAGGGAACGAAAAAAAATCCATGGCCGAACCGAGGCTCGAACCCGGACTTTCCGCTTCTAAGACGAGCGCACTAATCGCTCCGCCACCGCACCCTCTCTTTTTCAACAATAGTGTCATAAAATGCAAGATGGCGGTCGGAAAGTCATAGCACGAAAGAGAGAGATTCATACACGTTTGGAATATTATAAATGACATATGTTAACTCTTCCATAGGTGAAATGTTTTCATCTACGTTTAGAATGACATGATAAATTGTTAATTCAAGAACGATTTAAATGAAGCTGCAATATTGTTTTTTGTTTTTATTTTGCTTTCTATATTTGTTTCTTTGTTTTTGTTCTCATTACTTATCAAAAATTGTATCGCTGTAGATTGGCTTCACTATAGCAATACTATAATGTCTATTTTTCTGTATATAATGAACTAAGTCGCACAAAACACAGAGACAATTAAATGTGCAATTTTTTCCTTACATTTCAGCCATGTCAGACCCATTGGGGCAGGGCGCAGGAAGAGCAAAAGGGCAATCAGGGGTTGGTGGTGGTGGTAAGGTTGGAGGTAGGTAGTTTGGATCCTGAAACAAAACATGAGACGGAAATGACGTTGAAGTTTGTGTTCTTTTAGTTTTGACATAATATGACTATAAATAATATTACCAGGTGCACCTACTTTTATGGTAAAGGCTGGTAGACAGGTGATGTTCAAATGAATTAGAATCAACACTGAACACACACACACACACACACACACATGAAATCTGCACTCTTTTAACCCACTTGCCCCCCCTACTCATACACACACGCACACACGTACGCACGCACGCACACACACACACACACACACACACACACACACACTCAAACCCCTCCCCTTCCCCCCAAAAAACCAACAAAAAAGCAAAA